CTTTCCCAGGGTTAAAAAACCGTCTTATACGCCGGAAAATACGGTAGTATAAAAGCCAATTTTGTTGTGAAACAATTTATCTTAGTATTTATAGCCTATGAATAGCTACAATGTTGATTTAAAAAAATAAAAATTTACACAAGGAAATTTTAATTCAAATCGTCTATCTTATCTGCTCTCCTGTAATACAATTCATACTGCCCCATGAAAAGACCTAAGTACATGGTTCACTAACTTGGATTCCCATGGGGGAAGGAACTATCCTCTGTTTTTTCTGGTGTGGTATGGGATTATACTGAAAAGTAGTTCCATTATTAAGAGCAAACTAGGGCCCAAAACACACAGCAGAAATAATCCAGTTTGAGACCACTTTAACTGCCCTGGTTCAATGCTAGGGAATTCTGGGAACTATAGTTTTGTGAGACATTTAACCTTCTCTGTCAGAGAGCTCTGGTGCCACAATAAACTACAATTCCCAGGATTTGCTAGCACTGAGCCAGGGCAGTTAAAGCAGTCTGATTCTATGATTTCTGCAGTATGTTTTGGACCAAGGTTTCTTAGATCTTTTCTGCTTAAACACTCAGCAGAATATAATTTGATGCCCCACTTGCATATAAATGGATGCCACTATTGAAGTACCTGCCACAAACCTGGCAACAAAAACAGGTTTCCCTGTTCTGTGGTGTATTCAGACTGCCAGCAGGACATCTCACACTGCACATATACAAGTTGATTCAGTTTTGTGCTGCATTTTGCCCCAGGCTCCTTAATTGCTGGGGGTAAAATGCCCACTGAACACATAAAATTTTTAAAACTCCCAAGGTGAGACAGCTCTAAATTACAGGTTTACTCTTGAATTTGGGGGGGATTTGAAAGGAAAGACCAAGCCAAGTGAACGCCTACTCACCTCTGTTGGGATTTCTACCAATCCAAACTGTTCATTGAACTCTGGAGATGAGCCAGTCAGGAGGGCTACAATTGCCAACCCTGACAAAATGATGCTCCACAGCAGAGGTTTGTTTTCCCGCAAGCTTTCCATAAATGGATGGCCCTGGAAGATAGAGAGTGATCAGAAGGACAGCAAAACTAAAGGTAGTTTCAGGTACAGCATGAGTAAAACTTCCAATTTCAGGTTCCACAAAGCCCAGGTGTTAAGCTGTTCCGCCACTCCCACCTATATGCACTTTAAGATCAGTCTCCCAAACTGCATAATCATCATCATGGTGTGGATACAGACATTTTATTGCCAAGTCATGTTTATGAAACCAGGGACGTTTTTCATATTTTTAGAGTTCACGTTATCTGAGTGCTGCCATAGTCCTTATTGTTTACTGATAACCTGAGTAGAAAATTTAGTTGGGTTAAATGCAAACTAACTGCTGTTGGATTCAATGAGCAGTGAGGAATAAGTAAGGTTTAATATTGGTAGATTGCTTATTTCCTTAATAATAAGGTAGAGGTAAGGACTGGGACAGGGAGCCAGTATGGGATGGCAGATTTGAGTGTAGGACTAGGACTTTGGGAGGTGGGTTCAAATTCCTACTCAGCTATGGAAAACCCAGTGGAGTGGGCCAGTCACACACTCTTAGTCTTGAAGGCTATGGCAAATCCACTCTGAACAAATTTTGCCAAGAAAAACCTGTGATAGGGCTACAGTCAGTCAGAACTTATATGAAGGCACATAACAGTAAGGCCTAGAATCGTGTTGGTGACATGCTGGGGTAACCTCCTGTTATGCAAGCATATCTACTTTCCTATCTAGTTGTTGGAAAAGTATGCAATATCTTGCTGGGCAACAACAACTCCCACAAACTCCAGATGATGGCCAAACGCTGTTGATGTGGGCAAGGTGACCCTGGGCATGATTTACTTTCTGAGTCATCACCCTTGCAGATTTTTAACAAGAGGATGTATTTGAGAGTCCTGGCCCTCAGCATATTGATCAGGTTTGTTCCTTTCTTCCCAGCACTTATTGTTTTATATGGTCTACTTCTGCCACCCCCTGCAGACCCTAAAATCTGTTCCAAAGAACTGGGAAACCCTCTGGGGCACTGTATTAATATTACAGAGGACTTGCAAATTGGATAGGAGGTTGAGAAAGTCCTAATTCTGCAGGTGCTGGATACCTAAGTATACCTATGGTTCCTGGCTTATGCCTCTTGCAGCAAGAAATAAATTAAGGGACACCATAACAGCTGTTGAAGTTAAGCACTCCCACCTTATAATTGATGGCAAAGGTGGCCATCTGCATTGCCATGGACATGATGTAAACAGTGCTATTCACTAGACTGGGTTCAAACTCCTTGTAGAGGTCCACAAAGCCATCTTTCCTTAAAGCAAATAAGAGAAAGGCCCTTGGTCATTTCTCATTAAAACACAAGATATTCAATCACTTTTAAGTTTTTAATTTCTATATTTTCTTTTGATTTACATAAATTTTTCCCACATTTCAGTTTACAGCTAATCATTCTACAGTAAGAATATTCCTTCCTAATCCTATTATTTCATGCTTAAATCCAAGCAGCACTCACTTGGGGTCACTGCGGGCCTGTGCACCTCGATAGAGATAAACCAGGCTGACAAAATGCACCATGAACTGCAACAGCACAGTTAGAACTGTATAGAGATTGAAGATATTAGGGAGTGGACGCTCCCGGGAGAGAGTTTTCAGAGGCTGTGGGGGGAAAAAAAAGAAGAATAGCATCAAGATTAGAATTCCACACACTGCTCTAGGTGCTGGTTGTATTCATTTGCTAGCACTGGGGATTGGAAATTAGCTTGAGGCAACCACAAGCCAGCTATTCTGACAGCGGCCCCATATGATGAAAATGTAGGACATCAATTTGTGACAAGAAGAACAGAAAAAAGAAGGTGGGCATCTTAAGTTGCTATGAACCCAACTGGAAAGTCTTTTGAAAACAAGGTGGCAGAGATCCTGCATTGCCAACGTAATTCAAATAATGGCAGTTATATCTGATGATGCCACTTCCTGAAACCCACCCTTGCAGACTGGCAGCACCTCAATCAAAGTGTTGGCGATCGAGACACTGTGAAATAATTTGCAAGGTGCACTGAGAACAGGCAGTTGAAGACACCTCTTAGGGTCCTGCCACAATTGTTTGTCCCACAGTGCACTGAAACCGGGGGAATGCCGCAGATGTTATTCAACAGTGCCCTGATCTCCAGCACCCTAAAAATGCTTTGGTCAGTGCACTGCCAGGCTGCAAAAGGTAGGTTGTGGGGATCTCTTTTGGTAATCGATGAACATAAGCATGAATTGAGAGCCAGTGTGGTATAGTGGTTTGAGTGTAGGACTTGAACTCTGGGGATCCGCTATGGAAACCTGCGGGGTGGCCTTGAGTGAGTCACACACTCTCAGCCTCAGAAAACTCCATGATAGGTTCACCTTAGGATTGCCATAAGTTGGAAATGTCTTGAAGACACATAACAACAAACAAGAATCACCAATAGTTATGAGATCATAAATCCAGCTTGTGATCTCATAACTGCCAAAGAGGATGCCAGCCAGTATTTCTACAGCAGAGAGTACATATGATAAGAAAGAACCTTTGCAGGGCAAGGGAATAGATGGAGAATGCTGCATGTGTTCAAAGGACACATATGCTGAATTATATGGTCAAATTCACTAGTGGAAAATTTCTTTGCATGACTTTACCAGTCAAGGAGAATGGACAGGATGTTCTGCTGAACTTCAACTACTGGAAATCTTAATTTGACTGCAAATACTTCCTTGTCCATCCCTGTACCTGCAAAGACTTGAAGCCTAAAAGAAAAAACAGAGATTCTCTGGGGCGGTTTTCCAAATAGAGCATGGGGAAATGAATAAAAAGAGGCTCATATGGGTTGTAATTCAGCAGGGGTATATTTAACATCATAATTCTGTATACAGACCTACGCTAGTCTGAACCATATAGCAATTAAGCTTCTTAATTGCACCTTCCCCATAACCATTCCATGTTTCATGGGGAGTAGGGAGGATCAGAGACGTGTCTGGCTATGTTCCCATGGCCACATGGAAAATAATTACAGCAGCACTGAGATCTGTTGGGATTGTCAGGAGGTTTCAATGCTGCTGTAATTATTTCAAAAGCCAGTGTAGTTTAGTGGTTTGGGTGTTAGACTACGACCCTGGAGACCAGGGGTTCGAATCCCCACTCAGCCATGGAAACCCACTGTTTGACTTTGGGCAAGTCACAGTCTCTCAGCTTCAAGGGAAGGCAAAGGCAAATCCCCTCTGAACAAATCTAGTCAAGAAAACGAATAGGTTCACCTTAAGGTCACCATGAGTCAGAAATGACTTGAAGGCACATAACAGCAATATGGGGACATAGCCAGACACTTCTCTGATCCCACCTGCTCCCCATATGGCATGGAATGGCTGCATAGAGGGGCTTTAGAGGATGTATGCTAAGTCTGAGGGGAGGGGCACTAACCACTGGAGAGCAAGATAATTCCAACCTCTGGAATAAGCAAAGGGAAAGCTTCTAACAGGATGCCAGCCTTCATCTGTTAGCACTGCCCATATTCCACCTGACATGACCCCCAGGAGCCAAGTCCTTTGGCAGTGGTCCTCCTTACCTTGGACCGGGAGATGAAAAGAAAGCAGCCAGCTAGCAGCAGCCCCTGTAGCGTAGCCTGGAAATCACTGAACTTTACCCCTTCCAAGTAAAGGACACTCTGACTGTAGGCCAGGATGAGTGCATTCAAGGCCAAGATCTTGAACATCTGGAGTGTTGTAACTAGGGTGCAACGGCCCTGCTTGATCACGTGACAGACTGCAGAGAGAAAGAGAGGATGTCGGTGCTTTGATCTGCATTGTGTGCTGTGCTTCAGTGCGCTTCCATCTTTACCTTTATGCAGGTGGGGTTTATATACAAGAGGGACCCAGAAGGGCTGGCATGAAGTGTGTTCCAGTACTGCTTTCTCCACCTAATGACTGAAACCCTTTCTAACTGGGTGACACAGGCTGGAAATCCCATTGCTCTACACATGTGCATCATACAGAGCAAGAGTTAGCAATGGGATACAAACAGTCACTAAGGGTCATGCTTTACTGGTGTCTTCCTCTACAAAGTCACACTGCCATTTCTCTCTAGCTGTTACACTGTGAATGTTATGCCCATATTGGTGAGTTTAGCAGATGTGTTTGATGCAAAGGCCCCAAACAAACACATCACACCAGTAGTGCCACTGGGAAAGGCTCAATAAGTGCTTTTGCTGTCATGTATACAAATGACCAATGACAACCCATTACTCTGAGCTGGTTCAAATGGATACAATGCCAATACAGCATGAGACACCAGTCACAGGCTCACTTCTCTTCCCTTCCCTACTTACTGCACTGTATAGAAGAGAGTTTGGAGGTGAAAGGAGCTGCAATGCTGGCATCACCCAACTTCACTATGGGCACTTGTTCCTCTTCCAAATCCTTCAGCACCTGGCTGATCCTCTCCTGTTAGGAAAAAGAGAGGTGGAGGGAAGAGAACACACCTAGTTTAAGACCCAGTAAGGCTCTGTATGCTCCACAGAAATACATCCTGAATGAAAAACCAAGTAACACAGTCAGCTACCCTGAAAATGAGAAGACAGCAGGCAGATGACAGAGTACTCCTTAACTAGGGGCTGGTAAACCTATCAGCCCTAACATGGGCAACACTGAAGCATTATGGGAATGGTAGTTCTTCATCATCTTCTAGAGCAGGGGTAGGCAACCTTTCCCCTTTAAGGGCCGAGGGACTTCAGCTCCCAGAATCCCAGGAACTATTGGCCAACATGGGACTATTGGCCAACATGGCTGAGGCTTCTGGGAGCTGAAGTCCTTCGGCCCTTAAAGGGCAAAGGTTGCCTACCCCTGTTCTAGAGGGTTGAAGCGCAGTGGAAATTCAAGTCACCCTCCTGGTGGCCTGGAACACAATATCTGCTGCTTCCATTCAATCCACCACAACACCTCTTTCATTACACCCTGCACTGGTAAGGGACTCTCAGAAGAGTCTTCTGTCCCCAACCCTTGGTCCCAACCCCTTTAAATTTCACAAAGAAAAAGAAAGCCCTGAAGCACATGTAAGCCCAACAATGGAACAGCCATGGGTGATGCCAAAGAAGGGGAAAGGGAGGCCCATCTGTCAACTCACCCGCTGCATGGCGAGCTGCTCCTCTCTGTGAGACATGAGCCTGTGCTTGGCAGCACGGGAGGTGGGCCTCATGTTGCTCCCAACGATGGATGGGGGCAAAGCAGGCTTCCCATCAGCAGGGGCATCACGCGGCCTCTTCTTACGCTCAGGGATTCGTTCAGGTGCATTGGCTAGTAGGGCCACTCCTGCAAGAATGGATCAGGTCACTGAAGACACAGAAAACACTGGGAACTGTCACATGATCTGTGACCAGAAGCAAGTATCCTCTGGATGACACATTTGTCCAAGAACAGCAAGGTAATAATATAAACAGAAAACCAGCTATGGGTTAAAAATGGATATAATCCTATAATGGAATCCACAAAAGGTAGGGATCACTAGGATGGTTATATTGCTTAAGAGATCTGTAAGATTTAAGGAAAGGTTGGTAGATTGTAGAAAAATGTGGGAAGACATGGCACCGTTTTATTGAAATATCAATTTGGCCTTCATTAACCTATTGATTTAAATCATGTATAATAAACAGGTGTGAAGGGGAGAGAAGACCAGCATTTCAAAACAATGTGACAACTTACAGGTAGCTTATTAATTAGGCAGAAAATAGAGATTCCAAAAGTTGCAGAGAAGAAATAATATCTTTAAAAAGGCATTCCCTCTTGCACAAGAAACAGAACGCCTATAAGTCTGCAAATAACACATGCATTCATCACTGAAAAATCTAGAATGTTTTTTAAAAGACCAAGTTATGTAATTTGAAATTTTAAAAGCCTTAAGATTAATAATAAGTAATGTGAGCTCTTTACATTTGATATCAATTGTAAATAAAGTTATTTTCTTGTTTTTCTTTGACAATTGCCCATGTTAAAGCAGGTACTAATCCTTTAGATATTCCTGCCTGTGAGAGATGGGGAAGCGCCTGTAGGTTTTGGTGTTTGCTATCCCATTTTTTTTTTGTTTTGTTTTTCCAAGCATGTTTTCTAAACAGCAATGTATTATTTACTGAAATCTATGTTCCAATTAATCAGGGTGTATTTTTAACTATGAAAAAACTTACCCACATCTGCATGCTTCAGAGCCCCCACATCATTGGTCCCATCGCCACACATCAATGTCACATAGCCAAGCCCCTTCAGTGTTGTGATCACAAACTCCTGCAATGGGAAAATCCAATGTTGTGGAAGGGAGCCTGCAAAACTCTGTGGAAATCCATGTCCTGGTAGTGCTGTTCATCTTTACACCCAATCACATAAACACTCCTGTGTTATAACTACATGGCGTCTGCCATATCCTCATTCCATATCAGCAGTCAGAGAAAAATAAGCATCGACAGCCAGTTTGTTAGCCTCATGATTTCAGCAATTTTGAGGATTATAGCTGGCAGGAAAACAGGAGGTTGAATTTTGCAAGTTCAGTCATCAGAAATACCAGAAACGATGCAGCATACATTTAGTAGAAGATGAAGATCCAACAATCGTATTAAACTCTCAACATTTTATGCAGGACATTTTCCCATTCTGTCAGTTTAGTATTGCAGCTTCAAAGGCACATGGCAACAATCTCTCACCAAAGAGGAATTGCTATTAGAAAAAGGGCTATGTGGCTTGTATTTCCAGGAGATAAAATGGCAGGAAAGGAAAGTGTCATGCATTTCTGTCCTCTTGAATAATCTACCTCTGTATGTGCCCTTGGCTGCAAGTTTCAACACTCTGACATCCTCTTGGGATGAAGTCACAGCACTTCTGGCCTGTGCAGATTACTCTTGTGGAGCATAGAGGTTTCCTCCCACACCTCTCACAAATATGGAAAAAGGTGGCCCATCTAATGTCCAGAGAGGAATTCTTGTCCTTAACCCCAATGGCAGCTTGAAAATATGTGTGTGGGGGAGATTTCCAGTGCAAGAGAAAGGCAGCTTCTCTGCAGCATTTAGGAGGGCCTATCACTTTCTTCAAGCATAGAGAACAGTGATCACCGTGCCTCTATACAAAGAAAGGGACCCTGGATGTCACCAGCCAGGGTTTTGGGCTTACCTTGACCTCATCCAACCCCTGGAGGGTGAATGAGAAAACAAGCAAACCTGAGGGTGGAACAGTTCCCCTGCCTGCCATAAGGCCATATCTTAGCTTCACTTATGAATCTGTGACTCCATCACAGCAAGTCACAAAATACAAAAATCAGTAAATACATTTCGTAGTGGATCAGGTTGCATAACATTACAAGGAATTTGAGCTATACCAAATCTCTTCAAAGATGCAAGTGAAAGCTTTGTTACATTAACAGAGGCTGTGATAACAATATAATTTTTATTTCTGTTTTGCTTGCAATTATTTCGTATGTATGTACCTTCAAGTCACCTGTCAACTTTTGGCAACCCCATGAATTGCAGAGGGTTTTCTTAGGCAAGAAATACTCAGAAGTGGCTTTACCAGTTCCTTCCTCTGAAATACAGCTTACAGTAAGTACCTGGTATTTGTTAGCTGTCTCCCATCCAAATACTGACTCTGCTACAGCAGCATTTTTAAAAGAGCCCATACGGCAGGGGTAGGCAACCTTTCCCCATTAAGGGCCGAGGGACTTCAGCTCCCAGAATCCCAGGAGCTATTGGCCAACATGGGACTATTGGCCAACATGGCTGAGGCTTCTGGGAGCTGAAGTCCCTCAGCCCTTAAAGGGGAAAGGTTGCCTACCCCTGCCATACGGTATGTGGGGATTTAACCCCAAATGAGGTTTGACTTGAGACACAATGATTAGCTCTGGATTGTTCTATGAGCTTTAGGGAGCCCTGGTGGCGCAGTGGTTAAATGCCGGTACTGCAGTCACTAAGTTGTGAGTTTGATCCCAGGGGCTCCAAGGTCAACTCAGCCTTCCATCCTTTCATAGGTTGGTAGTTGTTGGGGGCAACTGGCTTACAGATTGTAAACCATTTAGAAAGTGTTGAATTCACTGTTAAGCAGTATAGAATTGTACATGCTATTGGTAGTTATAACTGATTGAAGATGAAAATTTGAATAGCAATAATAAAAATGAATATAGT